TGTCTCAGCACACTGACAAAGGAGAGTCAGTTTATTTAGCGCAATATAATTAGAACAATTATGTAATTATATGAATGGGAAGAGGTTTACATTTGTTAATCATAGGTGGGTAAAGGAGCCCAAAACAAACAAACAAACAAATAAACTGTCATGTCAAGTAAAAGTGGAAGTAAAAGTAACTATCAAAAATAAATATAAGCCAAACCCATCAGGTTCAAAACCTCCACAACTATCAAGTTAATCCTCTCTTTATTTAGCAGAAGTCACAAAAATCCACTCTTACCGTCCACCTGCTGTAACCTAAATAGATCGATATAAAATGTGAGTGAAGTGAAGATGACCTCTCATATAGGATTTTTTCCCTCTTGACTCAGTAATGCAAATTCTTTCCATTTTAACAAACAAATCTTGAACAGCGCAGCTTTAAAAAGCCAGTAATTTTGGAAATTATAGAAAAAATGTAAGAAGATGCAACGTTTGTGCACATAAACTAGATTTAAAGTTCCACTGAATGCAAAATGTTTAGCCAGTAGATAGATAGATAGATAGATAGATAGATAGATAGATAGATAGATAGATAGATAAAAGAATAAGTGGTCCTGCTGAGAGCATTATCCTGTCAGTTCTTGACATTTGTAGTGTGGTCTGTCAAAAAGTTAAAATATTCACTTTATAAAAAGAGGAAAAGTAACAGAAAAACAATCCAGTGTGATCCAGCAGGCAGAGCAATTTAACATTCATCTTCCATACTGTGCAACACATGCAGAAACACAAAACAAAGTTACACTTCATCACTATACTAACAAAATTCAGGCCTGAGGTTCAGGAGAAAGACATTTTCTCCCTACTGGACCTCAGGAAGAACCTGATCATTTAATTTATATTAAGTGGGATTTAACTGAAAAAAATATGTTCAGTGGCAAATCAGCAAGTGCTTCCATATTTTGCACTTCTGTCTGGTTTATTCACATGGCTAGTCAGCAGAAAACCATGTGTATTCCTAAATGTGTAAACATGAGCTGCTTTTTTACTGCATGGTACAGCTCAACTTGACTCTACCTGCTTTTGGTACCAGCTACTTCGTTTTCCACTGCAGATATAGTACCCCTTCATGTAGCTGGTCATCATGAAACTGCTGTGACATGAATGAGACCAATTTTGTTCAGAAGAGTTTGGGAAATACAACATCAGAGTTCAGATGACGAGACGATTCTGGTCGCTCAAAGGCGATGCGAGAGGGTACTAGCTTTAGCATATGTGTTTGGGGTGATAATGTAATTTCTCTTTGACCAATCAGTTGTTTGAGGTTTCTTCATGTCAGTGGTTTTAAGGTTGAACTGTGAACCTTTGAGGTGAAAAGTACATATTTCATAACTTAATGTTATAAAACAGAACAATAAAATAAAGAGCCTGGAGACGAGCCATGGTGTGTGTGTGAGTCAATACAACTTAGAAAATATAATTTCAATGGATTATGGTACAATTATATTCCCTGATTAAAGGTACTGAGATGTACCCTTGAGGGTACCACCCCAGTGACAAGAGGGGCACTCCAGTGACAGTTTACTACCTTTATTTCTGAGAGTGTACCATCTATGTTCATTCTGGTATTTTCTAGAACATTCCAAGCTGTTAAACATTTTCACAAAGGCCAAGGGAAAAGGTGGCTAAGGACTGAGGGGCACATGTGTCCTCACCACAGCAGGTGACTAGGAGATGCAGGCAGATCTCAAGAGGCAACCTGAATTCCCAGAGGAAATCCATCCGCCATCACAAACTGCTGACGAGACTTTGTCCTCTTGTTACTGGGACCTTTAGAAGAGACGATGAAAGAAGCACATGAGTGAAACCTCAACAAATATCAGTTCCTCCTCCTTGAGAGCCAGCACAGGGGCTGGACGGCTTGGAAATCTACCAGTTGAAGTAGGCTGCAGGGGCTTCTTGGGGCAATCACTTTAGAGAGGGCAATGGGTAGCCAACTTTAGCAAGCAGGCAGAAATGGCATCTCGTTGCTGTTGGCTGAAGAGAGTGAGGAGTTGCAAAAGTAGCCCTGAGTGAGAAGTAGCCACATTTACATGCAGTCTGATAATCTGTTAATAATCCGACTAATAGCTCAATCAGAATAGAATACATCCATGTATACACCTAAATCAGAATAGACTAGTCCGATTGAGGCCATTCAGAATACAATTTATATCTGATTGAATAAGGTGGGTAATCCAGTAAATAATCCTTTAAATAGAAGATGGAAGCAGAAACTGGTCTGCAGAGGAGACAAAGTTTATACTTTATACTTAAACATGACGTCTTCCTCTCGCCCTTCTTTAATAAGTACATTTGAAGTACGTTTTCCTGAGTCTGACATCATTTTACAGTAATTAAAAACACAAGCACTGCTCACTGCTGCTCGTCTCACTCTGACTGCACTCACGTGATGTTCATTGTCATGGTAACGTCTACACTATGTTATACTCTATGCATGTGCGTAATTTGGATCGGATTACTTGTAGTGTGTATGTAAATGGAGATTTTCCATCAGATTGTTGAGTAGAGTGAGAATAAACACCTCAGTCTTAATCTATAATCAGAATGTATTCAATCAGATTGGCAAAAATCTTTGCATGCAAACACAGGCCCTGAGAGGGATGGTGAAGAGCAGGCCCAAACACAGACATTTTGGGCGACAGGGACTCAATGAAATAAGAGGGCAATCTAAAGATGCCTAAAAAACTGAATTCACAGCACATTGCAAACATTCTTATCATGAGGGAGTATAATCATTTTTCAAGGGAAACCAAGCTTTCCAAAGCAGCCAAATATACTACTGTTACTGACCAAATAGAGATTTGAACCCCAATTCTCAGTGTGCAAAACATTTCCCACTACCCTGTAACTGCTATGAATCGATGGGTTATGAGTTAATATGAGTTAACTATATTTAAGAGTGCAACAGAGCATGGCGTAAATGCTTGTTATTTAGAATAACAAAACTTAGTTTACCAAGTTATTAACACCCCTTTCTGTCAACCCTATATATTATTGTTCAAAATAGTCACACTATGAAATGTCACGCTGAAGTTGTTGGTGCTTTATACTTCATATGTTGTTGTCTTTTGATGATTGCATCAAAACATGGTGAACACACTTACCCATACCTGCCTATCCTTATGTCTTACATGCAAAAGGTAGTTGCTTTGTCCTGTGGCTTACCTTTCACTTTTATCAGCAAGCTAAGCATAATGGGGACAAGCTTATAGTCAGATTGTCATCCCCCTCCAAAGCCCCCATCAAAAAATAGCTGTCGTTTACTTTGAAAAGAAAAAGAAAATGTCTCCTGCCCTAATCTGACACTCTTCAACATGGAGCCCAGAGACTCTTTAGAAAGGGCAATTGTAATCAGGAAGACGAGTCGGTGCCATTAAAACTGTTCACCTCTTGCAGTCGAGTGAAATATGTAGGATAAGCGGAAGGCAGTTCCTCCTTTCATTTTTCATCTACGTCACTTTTCACCACTCTTCTGTGGTCCGGCAAAGCAGTTGATGATAATGGAAGAAAATCAAGTAGTTGGAATGTTGTAAAGGCTACTTATAGTGTATTTGAAAGCAAGATAAAGCCTGTAAAAAGGATTTAATTTCTCTTGCATAGCCCATAAGATAGGATTAGAATTTAATTGAAATTAAAATCCAGGCTGCTTTAAACAGATAGTGTATAATCAAAAGATACAGTACTAGGAAAGTCAGTAACCACCATTCATTTCATTCCTTTTAAAATTACACAGAAGCCTCAACAACTAAATATAATATCATTGTCATTATTTTTTTTCAGTATTTGATGTGTCCATCCTTTACCTTTATTACAGCTTCCATTAGTTTCAGGAGACTCACTTTCAGTTTCTCAAAGAAATCTGCAGGAATGTTTTTCCACACCTCCAAAGTTTAGTCTTAGAAACTGGTTTTGCATTTTTTGCTTTTCAAAATCCAAGTAATCCCAAACATGTTCAGTGATGTTGAGGTCTGGACTCTGAGGCGGTCAGTCCATTGTTATTATAAGTGGCAAATCAGCAAGTGCTTCCATATATTGCGCTTCTGTCTAGTTTATTCACATGGCTAGTCAGCAGAAAACGATGCGCATTTCTGTATGTGTGTGTGCATGTATATATATATATATATGGTTCCTCATACCAAGGTTATGCTAACCTTGTAGCTAACTTTAGCATATGTCTTTAGTTTGATAATAACAATTCTCTTCGATCAATCAGACGTCTGCCGTTTTTCCACATCTCCTTTTGGTGTTGGCTCAGCAGGTTATACAAAAGTAGCACCAGTACCTAGTGGAAAACCAAAAAAGGCGAGTAGAGTCGTGTTGCACCGGTACCATATAGTGGAACAACGGCTAGAATTTTTCATGAATTTGCTACCTTTACCATCTGATATTTTCTAGAATGTTCCAAGCTGTTAAACTTTTTCACAAAAAAAGATTGAAAGATACACACCCTTTCAGGTCCATGAAAGGCTCAAATCTGTGTATACATTTACAAAATCTCAGCTGCAAGAAAAACAACAAAGCAAACTAACAAATCAGCTGGTGTTCTCAGAACAATGGACTGACTACCTCAGAGTCCAGACCTCAACATCACTGAATGTGTTTGAGATTACTTGGATCATGAAAAGCAGAAGATGCAACCAACTTCTAAGACTTAAATTTAGAGGTGTGGAAAAATATCCCTGCAGATTTCTCTGAAAAACTGAAATTGAGCCTCTGTGATAGAAAGAAAATAAGCTGTAATGAAGAGGAAGTGTGGTCAAAAGTGTTCTCTGTTATTTTCCTGAGGCTGAAAAGGAATAATTTGTACTTAATGTCTGTTTTGACTGAAGAATAAATAAATGAAATGTGGTCTCTGACTTTTGCGCAGCACTGCAGGACAAATGATGCTACAACTGTTGCACAAGAGTTCACAGAAATTCTAAACTGGTTCTGGAAATAAACAATCAGCTCTTAAATGTCAATTTCATATTGCACAAGTTTATTGATTCCATTTCATACATGGCTGAGTAAAGTACAAAGAATGAATCACGCTGTTAAACAGAAGGCCTGGAGAAGTTTCAGCTCCTCATTTCAGTATTTAACACATGTGCCAGAATAATAACCTGATTATTAAGCAAAGAGCACCATTTCCTGTATGAGTGAGATATCTCTCAGTGGAAGGACGAGTTTTAATGGATATAATGTTCATCATGGAAGGACGTAGATTTCATTTAGTCACAGAGACATTAAAAGCACATTTAAAACAGCGGAACAGAAATGACTTGCACATTCATTAACACTGTACAGTATCGTCTATTAATAGATGCACTCTACTCTTTCATTGTAAACAGTTCACACATTAAGGCACATTCTCATCATAAGGATTCTGCACAGTCTGAAAAGACTGTAAAACACTTGGCCTTTGTAAAAACAATATGCAGCATACATATATTACATATACAGTTTTATACATTACATTTAAGTACAAGGACTTTAAAATTTTTAGATTTTTATGCGAATCCTCTAAATTGTGCAAATTGATTTGATTGTCCATTATGTGTTCGCCAGGACGAGTCATCAGATATCAGATTTTAGTGGTCAATCCATTGGTCTCCAAAGTTAAAACTGTGGAAGATGAGGTCATGGACAACCAATCAGATCAGGGGGGTCATCATCCTGGTTCTAGAAAGAAAAAGAAAAAAATAAAAAGCACTGTTAATATGGTGTATTATGGCACAAACTACAAAGACAATTCACAATCCACTACGGCATTAGCTCAAGTTCCATTTCTAGTAAACATTAGCCGGGCTTCCATCCAGCTGTCAAATTTCAAACAAATAACTGAAATGTTGGAAAAAATGACACAAAAGAGGCTCCATCAGCTCTGCACAAGAGAATTAAATCCTTAACATTCCAGGTTTATTTTATACAAAGCCTTATAATTCAGTAACTACAGGGACTTCAATGCAAACTAATGGAGCTATTCTTAGGTTATAGAAGTATGTAATAAAACTTTGGGCCCACTGGCAGGCCCATGGCTTGTTCAGGGGTTAAACTGTCTGTCGAGTAAGAATACTGAATTCACAGACACAATTTTTTTTTTGTTGAGTTACTTTTTGATGCTTTTCTGTTTACGGCAATAAGGTCCAGTGCAAAGGCATGAAATCAGAATGCACTGTCAAGCATGATGGCTCAATGACTATTAATCAACAACAGACACCTGGTGTCCGTTTACTGTCTAATATTACTGATTTAGCTTTTTTTTATCTGCTGGGTAACAACATCTGGGAAACACTTGATCAGTCATTTGACTTTTTCTATTTGTATCTACATTATTTGTTTGGCAAAAATTATGTAGTTGCTGAATAATAAGTCGTAGGATTAATACTTAACAATAAGAACATTAAGGGGTTAACCCTGCACTTCTGAGTGATGACACGGCACTATTTTTTCACTGGTTCTAGATTCAGTGAGTATCTCGAAGAACAGGCTTACAATAATAAGAACTACTTGCTGAAGTGGAGAGAAGCACAAGCAGTACATGACCTGCAAGACTAAAGCTCTAGTCTTATCATGAAGTATACAGTCTGTACACTGGAACTGTGATGGTCAATCATTCTTTCCTGATTCTTTGCTAAGATAATGTTGACACTGTGTGTTGACCGTGGTACGTTTGTGAATACAACACAAAAAATGTAATGTTATGGTATGAGAAATTTCCTGAATCTGCAAGCATCAAAGTTTAATGTTTGGTGGAACGTTTGTCTTCCAAAACACACTGTAAACAAGCTAAATACCACTTTTGGTGGTGCATACACTGGCACTATACCCAGTTGAGGTGTTACAAAGTTGCATTAGATTTAAAAATAGAATACTGTCAATCAAGGTTAGACTTTATCTGGTGCCCCCGGCCACAACATTTCACATTCTGGTCACAGAAAATGTAGTGGCCCAAGTGACCACTTGCATTGGAGTTGTTTTGCATTTTTACACTTTTAAAAACAAGAACCAACACTGAAAACAAACCAACTACTTTCACCCTCCCACGCAAGACCCGGAGCCTGTTTGGTCTGACACAGAACTACTAGCATCATATCTATCATATGGTTTGTTGGAATTCACTACACTCTTACGCTACACTCTCAGCAAAAAGTGTTCTATATGGTACCAAAAAAGGTTCTCTGGCTTTTAACAATAGTGTAACCCTTTATAGTGTTATATAGAACAATTTTCACAAAGGGTTCTAAATAGAACCATCTACAACCCTTACATGATGCAAAGCTCCCTTTAATCATGTGCTTTGACTGTTTGTCTTTCTATATAGAACCATTTTCTTTACCAAAGAACCCTTGAAGAATCATCTTTTTTAATAGTGTAGATTAGTAAAACATGGCTTTGCTGCAAGTAGCAATGCTGACTGTAAAAAAAATCTGATACTGATGACTATGGAAAAAATTGAAAAACTGTAGAAAAGAATGAGTGTAAGAAAGAATTTGCTGGAGAAGGATTTGACTTTCTGATGTTCTGATGTTCTGTCGAGCATGTCATCATTTTCCATGGCAGGTAGACATTCTTGTCTAGAAAACACAGTATTGAAACGGAAGGTTAGCAGGATTGAATGACAAAAATCTTCAAATTGGTTAATTAGTTGAAAAACGATGCTTCCTTAATATTACTACCTACTTTGTCATGTACAATGAAAAAGAAAATGAGTAGACATGACAGAACATCTGTGTGTTTTTTGTATTGACGCATGCTTACTCATTGTTAAAAAAATGCATATACAATAAACATCTGTAATTCTGGCCACAGATACTTAATTTTAGCCGTAATATTCATTAGCTTGGTGGCTTGAATGCCTAGTGCAAATTTTTATATCTGTCTTTCCTTGATGTTTAATATTGCCCAATACTAATCGATGCAATTTTAATCTGTAAAACTGACGTACATTCACAACTACAGTAGCTATGTCCATGTCTTATTTGTTTATCACAAATTTATTTCCCTTCCTGTCTGCTTTGTAAAGTCTTAAAAATTACCCCATGCCTCATCATGCTTCAAATTTGTGCGCAAGTACTGTGTAGTGGTGCCATTACCAATTTTACCAAATTATATGTAGAGAGGCTTCTGGACAATTTAATCCCTCCAGGAGACTTGGCAAGACCCCTTTCTCTGTTAATTTTCACCCTCTCCCTCATTCAAGCACCCTCTCTCTTTCTCTGCCTCCACAATGTGGGGTTTCTTTCTTTTCCTTTTTTATGTTCCCTCATATCGTTTTTTTTCCTCCCCAGCTCCCACCCCCAAGCCCCTCAGACAGCATGCAGCTTATGCAAATCATTGGCCTTTTATTCTCAATACTCGTCCTCCGACTTGAATGAGACCTCAAGAAAACACACACACACACACGCACACATAACACTAGCCCTTTCTTTCCGAAGAACATTTTCACAGGCTACTGTACATGCACACCTAGCTAGCCTTGGGTGCTAACTTTAATCTGTTACAGTACTGAAGAATCAACAGCTCCCGCTGTAAATACTCCCAAGCTGAATAGAGAGTGGGATTGTTCGAATACACTGTAATGCCATACAGCTATGTTAATGCCCCTATTAGTCTGCTATGTTCATCAGGGGTGAAATATTCATAATATCAATGCTCAATATCAATTAAAGGATTTCCCTAGAACTACAGAATCAAATTAAAGTACCACTGATGAACCTATTTTTGAAACTGCAGAGGAAAGATGGTGAAAGACTATTTTTCACCAAAAGCTGATCAGACACATTGTTCTTTCAGGAGAGTGAACTTGCATGGTCGGGGTGGGTGGCGGGTGGGGGGAGTGCTGAAGGGATGGAGGTAGACTAGACACTTAAGGAAGGGAGGGGGCTGTTTACCAAAGTCACTGAGAGAAAGAATGGGAGGGCCTGATGAATATAAAGTGCTCGTTGCAAGCTGACATTCCCAGGCTCTAAAATGCACACACACATAGTGTGGTTGTGTCCAGCTGCTAGGGGTAGAGTGTATGTGTGTGTGTGTGTGTGTGTGTGTATGTGTGTGTGTGGAGGTGGGTAGGGTGGCGGGGGCACACTGATCTGACTTCCCTCAGACACTTTGACAGGCCGGCCTTTTCACCAGTGCATTACTGGGCCAGGCAGCCCCCTCTCCCTTAGCAACTGCACAGAGTTGGAGGGCTCGGGGGGGCTGTGGGGTTCACGGGGGGAGTAAGTTCACAGAACTGGATGAAGAAGTACCCAGTCTGGTCTGCCTTGACTAGACATCGCTCCAAGGCAGCGAACTTGAACTTGACTCTAGTGCTGACATCATATTGAAATAGTTGTATTCATTTGCATATTATTATTAGAGGGTTTCAGGCTTTATTGTGTCTCATTGTATCTGATGGGAACCAATTTCTAAAGTTTCTCTAACCAGTTTTTGGTAACGATGGTAACAGAAAAACAACCAGGATATTATTTTTTGCTATTCAGTAACTATAGCACAGTATGAAAAATCAGTTTGACCATATTTTCTGTATTAATTGCTGAATCTGTTGCTAATTCTAGAGTCTATTTTAATGTATTCCCTGGTTTTAACAGTCTTTTTCTCTTCCCCTGCTCTCATATCCTCACATAATGTGGTAATTGATGTTCAATTTAGTGCCTGTTTTCAGGATCTGGGCAAGATTCAGAGGTCGACTCTAATCTTTATAGCTCTATGACTATGTAACACAGCAGAACTTCTCAATCAGCCTCTAGTCAGATGGCTCAAACATCCACCTAATAGGACTTATTAATATGAACAGGTACAGAAAATAAATTTCTCTTTAACAGTGCAAAAAAGAAAGTTTTGAAAAGATGAGCTAGCAAAGGCAAAAAGGAGGTTACATGATCTTACATGAGTGCAGATCTTTTGCAAAGTGTTATTATTAGTTATAGGAAGATTTCAAGTGAATTTATACGTGAATGAGCTTAACTAAAGTGGACTTGCCACTTAGCACTTCATTACCTTATTGTGCCATCTGGCTATAGACACTATAAACTATGGCTAAAAATGCTATATAGCATATTAAGGCCATAGCAAGATTTTAGTTCTTCTGACCATATCACATTTACTCTGTTGTAGCTTCAATGCAATTTGTTGACATACTCTTTATATGTTCTGTGGTAAATACACAATGTCCTGCATATCTAAAATCATGACAGCTGCATGTGTATAGTGATCAGGGTGACCATTCAAAACAGGAGAAGAGTCTGATCCTTCATCAGCACCTTTCCTGTTGCCTCTGCTGAGTGAGGTCCTTTTTGCTGCCTGTTATCCCCTCAGCCAGAGTCATGCTCAGGAATCCCCATCCCAGGCTTTTCACGGCCAATCGGCCAGGGAGGGGGCAGAGAAAGGAGGGGGAAGTCATTTCAAAGCTCCCCTGTAGTCGATACAAAGCTGAGAACAACTCTTTTCGGGATAATCGCATTTATCCCAAGATTAAGATGGGATCGGCAGCTGAGGTAGCCACATGGGAGAAAAAGGGAATTTTACCGTAAAACATACAAGCCCCATCGAGCCACTCACGATGTGAACAGATTTTAATACAATTTCACTGGAGTGTGCAACTTGTGCCTTGACTATTCTGCAATCTGTATCCACGAAGAACATGATAACTTACTTGAATACTTAAATCCTGAATCATT